TAAAGAAATTGGCCTCACCTCATTTGGATTTTTCTACTATTTTATACAGATTTTCAAAGTCTGCACACTTTCAATGCATTCTTAAGTCAACATTCTTATTTTCAAACATTTTTTCTCAAACCATTTCGATTCCAAATTATTCCAACTTCCGAATCTCAACTTAAGATAACATATTTGAAATAAACAACCAAAATCCAACCTTTATTTTATCATTTATATTATCTCCCAAATCATTGACTTAATCAAGTCAAAGTTCATATGATGAACTTGCATAAATCTTGATAATCTCTTGAATCTAATGATCATTTCAAGCCATAAACACTAAAAATGCACTCATTTTATACACTTAAGATCAAACCCATATGAAACCCTAACTCTATCTCAACATGCAATCCATAAAACAAGAATGTCAACCAAGAACAAGTGTAAAAATAGATTATACCTTACTTGATGATCAAATCCTTCAAAGATCTTGTAGTTCCTCTTTGATTTGAGTTGAATCAAGGCTATGTGTGTGAAAATCACACCTCTAGTGTATGTGTGAGTTCTGGACTTAAATGACAAGAAAAATGGGCCAAAAAACCAATTTATAATGCTAAAACTCGAGTTGGGCCGAGTTGGCCCGGCTAGTTACCCATTTTGACCATCAACACTTAAATTATTCATAACTTTTTGCTCGGACCTCCGTTTTCTATGAGGTTTTCGCTTACACGTTCATAAAGAGATAATATATAACATCCAACTAAAATATTCCAGAAAATATCTCCCAAGAAAATCAGTTTTACGTATCTATTTGACGTAAAATTTTCCCAAATCCTCTAATATACTCCTAAGAAATATAATTCTAAAATTTCAAACCTAAACTCCCACTAAATCATAAGTTNAAAAATAGATTATACCTTACTTGATGATCAAATCCTTCAAAGATCTTGTAGTTCCTCTTTGATTTGAGTTGAATCAAGGCTATGTGTGTGAAAATCACACCTCTAGTGTATGTGTGAGTTCTGGACTTAAATGACAAGAAAAATGGGCCAAAAAACCAATTTATAATGCTAAAACTCGAGTTGGGCCGAGTTGGCCCGGCTAGTTACCCATTTTGACCATCAACACTTAAATTATTCATAACTTTTTGCTCGGACCTCCGTTTTCTATGAGGTTTTCGCTTACACGTTCATAAAGAGATAATATATAACATCCAACTAAAATATTCCAGAAAATATCTCCCAAGAAAATCAGTTTTACGTATCTATTTGACGTAAAATTTTCCCAAATCCTCTAATATACTCCTAAGAAATATAATTCTAAAATTTCAAACCTAAACTCCCACTAAATCATAAGTTCTCTTTAACCCAATAATTAAATATACTAAGCAAATAATTGGGCATATTAGAAATTGGATGTTACAAATACCTCCTCCTTTTGAGGATTTCGTCCCCGAAATCACTGTTGGGCAAATAAAGACGGGTATTTCGCCTTCATCTTATCTTTACGCTCCCACGTCCAATTTGGTCCTTGATGGTGTTTCCACTTGATCAATACCAAGTCTACTTCCTTATTACGTAGTTTCACTTTTCTCTCATTCAGAATTGATTCTGGTTCTTCAGTGTATCTTAATTTCTCATCTACTTTGACTTCGGCTAAGGGCACCGTCTCTTCATGTTTACCCAAGCATTTACGTAAGTACCCGACATGAAACACATCGTGTATCCCCGTAAGTTCCTCCGGTAACTCTAGTCGATAAGCCTGTTTTCYKATACGCTCCAATACYWTGAACGGGCCAATAAATCGTGGACTTAACTTAGGGGCTGTTTGTTTCCCTCTTAATGGTGACATTAAGAGGGAGCCTCTTAATCGGTCAGAGGTTAGGACCGTTTGGAAAAAAAAAAACCCTCTTAATTGTTACATTTGGCTCTTAACCATTTTGAAGGTAATACTCCACTCAACCATTCAGGGGCTGTTTTTTTCCATCTTTGCCCTCTTCTCATGCATCCCCTGGTCGCTTCCATTCTTCTTCCCCCTTCCATTCCCAATCGCTGCATAGCCCATCATCTTTAATCGGAGCGCCGGCAAGGCGCCGTCCTTCCACTTCGTCGGTTCCCGATCGCTTCCAGGGCCGTCGTTCCTTTCCTCCAAGGCCCGTCCTTCCATCTTCGTCGGTTCCCGTCCTCCATCTTCGTCGTCGGTCCGCTTCTGTCAGGTATGTCTCACCGTATCGCCGGTCGTTAGTCGGTTTAAGTCGCCGGTCGCCGGTTTATTGATTGCTACCACTTTTTCTTTAGCAATCTTCTGTTTAGATGCAACTATTTTTCTTATATATTGCTATAGATCTGTTTAGATGCAACTATTTAGATGGGATTTTTTGAAGATTGCTATATGTTGGAATTTGGATTGTTATGTTATTGTTTATTCATGAATTTGAAAAATTATGTTTGGTTGGACTAATATGAAATCTTGTTTCGAACTAATAATGTTACGTATGTTTGGATTAATATGAAATATGTAGTTATTATTGTAAAATTATTGTTTCATTCAGATATCAGCCAAACAGCTTTATTTCATTCAGTACTAAATCATTCAGAGGGTTAAAATGGTAATTTTACTGCCATTCAGAGAACAGTTACCAAACAACATTATTTCATTCAGCACTTAACCATTCTGACCCTCTTAACCATTCTGACCTCTTAACTATTCTGCACTAAATCATTCAGCAACTGCCAAACAGCCCCTTACCTTGTTTTCGGAATCGAAGCACGCCTCGCCAAGGAAAAACTTTCACCATTACCATATCACCCACCGAGAACTCGATTGGCCTTTT